GCATAAAAACGTATTTTTATTAGTGTTATAAATATAGATGGTGTTATTTTTAAAAGCAAATTAGGATAACCTTAAAAAAAATCATAAATCAATGAAAAGGGTGAACGGGCGAGACAGACGGTACTCGTCATTGGCTCATTGGTGACTTAGTACAAGTGTAGCCATCTATGTGGAAAAACAATCAAGCAAGTCGACTCACAGTGGGCATGGCATGTACGTACATGCCATCCCCGGCGGCAATGGGTTAATTGTTTTTACACACAGATGGCTTCACTTGTACGAAGTCACCAATGTTTTCCTTGACTGACGAAAATATTTTACATTATCTTATTCTGCTGCAACTAATGTTTATCACATTATAGTAATTATAATGTCTATAATAAAAACACCATCAATGTTCATAGCATCAGTAAAAAAAATTAAATTTCCCTAATTCAAGGAATGGTGAAATTAGGTTATGTCACAAGGTCTACTAATTGACTCCTTTGTGGCTAAGTACTAGCAGAGCCATCTATGTGCATTTCACAAAAATATAAAAAATGAACATAGCATTTTCCCCATTCTTTATTCATTTTCCACCATGGTTAATAGTACTGTACTGGAAAAATAACACCTTTTCCCGCCAATTCAAGGAATGGGGAAACCAGGATTGGTCACTAGGGCAAACAAAACGAAAGTACATAAGCCCGCTGACATCGGGTTAAGGATTTATCAATATAAAAAATAGCCCATTCTTTAGTAGGTGCTCTGTCTGGCATATCAGTTAATCAAGCTTTCAAGCACAAAAGGCTAAAAAAAAAATGATGAAAGAAAATCCTCTAAAACATATTAATCTGATGGCTGTGGGGTTAGCTACTGTCAACTGAATAATAATAATAATAATAATAATAATAATAATAACAACAATAATTACAATAATAACAACAATAACAATAGCTGTCCTTATCTAATGCTATACTATTATTATTGTTATTGACATTATGATAATTATAGTATTTTTAAAATACTACTAATAAAATACTTTACGGAAATTAAGGATAAGTGTAGGAAGGCAAGATACATAGAACCAGTAATTGACTCCTTGGTGACTAAGCACTTGTGGAGCCATCTCCGTATAAACAATTAATAAACTAAAATTACAGTGGGCATGGCATGTAATCATGTCTTCCACTTCTATTAGGTTAAAACAACTTGAGTGCTCCAATAGTTAGAGGGCAAGTTGTTCCACCTATATTTTTTAACCACTGGTTCTTGCATTTTATTACTGTGGAATACTTGACTGTACTTCCAATCCTGTTGCATAAATACATTAATGTTCTGGTAGAATATATTTTTTTTCTAAATTAATGTCTGTTGTATTTCATTTTCTGAGTACACTAATCATCTCAAAAAATATTTAAAAAATGGAACCAAGAACCTATAAGGCCAATAAAATTATAAAAAAAATGAACTATAACTTTCATTTTATGTCTCATATTTACACTATTACTTTACAGTTTTCGGAGAGTACAGGGGAAAAAAAAAAAAACATAAAAAGTGGTCATTTACACCACCCATTTCAACTAAAAAAAATAAAAAATATTGAAACAATAACAACTGTGACAATTTCAGGAAAAAACATTTTGATAATGAGGTCCCAACTTAACAATTACTTTTGTTTAACAAGTAATTTAAACTTTTTTGGATAGAAAAGAAAGAGAGGAATGGATTTTTGGAAATAAAATGGGAAAGTAGAATGTTGTCAAATGAAAAATAGCAAATGTTAATTCATTTCAAATTCATCATAACTCCTGCAGGAAGAATAAGCTCGACGCAATATACATCATGTGCATCATTTTGAACAAGCACTATGAAAGCTTGTGGTAATACCTTGTTAAATATATAGGCATGTATGCATACTCATCACATTCATATCCACATATTTTTACAAAGAGAGGAAGAGGGGAAGAATGTGACTATTTATGTACAATGCGAGTTTGCATTCATACGTATATAAACAACTCAGGAATATTCCCCTTTACTACAGTTAATGAACTATGAACAACACTGCACTATGACATGAGCAGCAGTATCATACCTGTTTAATGCAAAAATCAAAAGCTCCAGCTTTAGTGTCATAAAGAGTTAAAAATGTATTGTTAGTTGTAAAAACACCATACCATTTCACTATTATGCCACTAAATCTCTCATGATTTCCCAAATTCTTTTTTTCTATTTACTCTGTAATCTAATTAGGTACATGCAGTTAATAGGTCTGTACCATAAATGATGCCAAGAAATCCAGAACAACTGTCATGTTCTGAAATTTCCAATACTAAGTGAAAGTCCATTTCCACTACAAACAACCACTATTTTGTCAAATGAATACTTCCTTACATTTCTACTAAATACCCCAAAACATTTTTTTCTAATGCAAAATTAACCTGTTTCTGCCGGGGACAAGCATGTACATACATGTCAAGCTCACTGTGAGTTTCATTTATTAGTTGTCTCTACACAGATGGCTTCACAAGTACTAAATCACCAATGAGCCAATTATAAGTACTACCTATCTCACTTGTTAATACTTTTCCTTAATTTTTAAAAATATTTCTGGCATCTTATATTATTAGTAGTAATGTCAATGATATTATAATAATTAAAACATCAATAATGATAATAATAATAATTATAATAATAATAATAATAATAATAATAATAATAATAATAACAACAGCATTGATATTGACAGCATTTTTCCTGCAAATTCATGAAAAGGTCATAATGTCCACCAATATCTTTGTGGCTAAGAATCCATGGAGCCATCTATGTGCTGAAACATTTCACAAAACAATGCTACAATGAACACAATGTTTTCCCAGCAAATGGATCAACTTTTTGTTGTAATGAAGCTCTTACATTTGTAGAAAAACTCTCAAGCCATAAGACTGAATGTTTATACAAGATTGAGACATTTTTTTTCTGGGACTGCATACTGATATAATATATATATATTTTTTATAACAATCATATTTCATAATTTTCTCAAGCATTATAACAAGTGTAAAATAAAGATGTAATTATTTACATCACTTATAATGTAGAGACTAAAATCTTTACTCAAAGAAGAGATAATCTGCTTTTATGTACATAAGTATCTACAGATCCGTTTAAAATACTGACGCACCTTATTTTGGGGGAATAACAGAAAATGTAATATCAGATTCAAATATATCTTGTACTATTTTATCTAGTATAAACAATTATCTTGCATTTTTCTAAACAAAGTTTGTCTACACAACAGAATTTTCAATACCACATTTAAAATAATATCAACCCTAGTCTTGGAGCATTTTGCATCAACAATGCTTCTGCAATGCAGTCAACAATCTGCTCTCCCAACACATGGCAAATCAGAATTTTTAAAAATTTCTTAAATGATCATAAAACCACACATTCACCATAATAATAAAAATATGGAGAATGATAATGATAATTCATATCAACTAGAAAAAGAAGCAAGAGGAAATAAAGTTTTAAGAGTTTCAAAGAGAACTTGAAACTTGACTTCCCTGACTTGCAACTACCTTTAATTGCCACAATATTCTCCTGTTAATGAAAGAACGAAAGAAAATAACAATAAAATAAAGAAATGTCTAGGTATTTTTGGCAAGAACTCCTGCAATTCTCTTCTTTATGGATGGCATCAGGCTGATGTGGTCATCCACACACTTCATGGCACATCCCTCGAACTCTGCCTTGTATACAGTAACCTGATGGGAGACAAAGCAAGAGACAAATCAATATCATATGCCTGTTCACTTTTACCATATTCAGACTCCTAACAGGCATACCCCATAAAGAAAATATAAAAAATCAATCCAGACTGCTTTTTCATTAGTTCATATGGAAGAATAACTTATGATAAGGAAGGAAACACTAATTATATAAATAATATGTAAGTTAAGCAAAATATCCTTTTAGTGACAGAAATATGCCCAACATGATCAGTAATATCAAACTTGTTAAAGAAATTTCAAAGGCAAGTTCTCATGGCTAAAATTAACACCAGGTCCAGATTTCTTAATACATTATCTTTGATAAGAATGAAGACTTAGAAGCCAAATATATACAACATATAAGGCTGTAGATACTGAAAATATACAGGGATATATACAAACAGGAAAGCACTAAATTATCTAAAGCTCTGTAGTTAAAGCAAAAACACAAGGATTAGTAAGCATATGTATCACTGTTTTTGTTTTTACAATATGTACCTTGTATGTGTATAATTAAAAAATAATAAATAATAATAATTACGCAAACTTCTTTTTTTTCTCACTGAATCTTATAAAAGGAGAAAAAAAGGAAAAAAGAAAAAGAAAAAGAAAAAGAAAAAACTAAGAAAAAAGAAAAACTTATTCTGAAAACTATGCAAAGTCTGAGTATACAACAAAAATAAATAAACAAAATGATCTAAAACACTTTCTCCTAAGTAGGTCGCAAACCCAAAATAACAAAATTGGCTGGGCTGAAATAAAAGCAGAGAATGAAAGAAATCTCACAACAGCTTCTTGACCATTTACTCATTGCACTATACACTGTGCATATTGTCCTGCACATCTAAATGTGTGCTAGCCTTGTTTCATTTAATGCTAATGACAACATTATGCACTTGAGCAAGTTGGCTAGCCACATGTGGTATAACCACATGAATACTAAGTTTGCCTGCTATTGTAAATATCCCTTATACATGAGTATGGACAGGTTACCCTGTTGTGTGTGACCACCCCCCCATCCCTTACTCACTGTTGTCATGGGGGGGGGGGGGTTATGTTTAGGAGACTGAGGCCCAATGTAGCCTTGGACCTCAGCCCTTGTTTCAACAAATTTTGCATGGTCTTTTTTTCTCCCCCTTTCCTTTACCTTCTCTTCTTCATCCCCTTCTCCTGTCCACTTATCCTAATTGTCAACTTACCCTTTACCCCAAAATACTGTATCTTAATGCTACATGATGTCTAGCATATTTATTTGCTTTAACCATTAACCATTCAAGGTATCCACAAACATCACCTTATGAACCCAAAAACTTCCTTACCCAGGGGCTTCATCCCCAAGACCCACCCAATCACTATAATTTGAATATGCTTCTAATGACCTTAGATGTTGAAACAAGAAAATTTTCATTAAGTATATAGATGATGATGAAAAATAAGTGAAACAAGATGAGAAGAGAAAAGAAAAAGAAAAAGATAGAAAGAACACCATTTTTTATTTGTATGCACAACATACTGTATCAGTGACAAAGATTTTTTTCCCCCCAAATAAAATAAAACATATTATTTGCTCACACACATACAGGTATTTAAAATCAGTGCATCTCATGCACACAAAAATCATAAGTTGTTGCTATTCTAAAAAAGTACAAAAATGCATCATAACTATTTTGGAATTTTTCGAAAATAAGAATATTCTCAAAACAGAGCACATCTATCCATATATGTATATATGTATATGTGTATATGTATATGTATATATATATATATACATATACATATCTAAATATATATATACATACAAAAAATTTATATGTGTATATGTATGTGTGAATATACACATAAATACATATCTAAATATATATATATCTTTATATATATACATACACATATATTTATATACATACGTATATACACATACGTATATACACATACGTATATTATACATACGTATATTATACATATATTACTATACGTATATGTACATACGTATGTATATATGTATATCTATATTATATATATATGTATATCTATATGTATATATATATATAGTCATACATATACATACACACACATCCATACATATATGTATGTATTTATGTATAGATGATAAAATCACATACATACAGCAGCATCAGATACCTGGTGGTAGTATTAAAATGAAATCATTTATTGGTAGAAGGCAAAATGTGGTGCTAAGTACACTCCCGTGTGAGACAGCTTAAAATTGAGGAAATGACAAAGTAGTTGGAGGAGGTAAATTTGACTCAGAAGGTACAATTAGAAAGGAATTATTTAATGAATACATCCATGTTCCCTCTTATGCCATGAGATGATAGCTGTTTAAGAATGTGATATCACCAAGTAGTACATGATGTGATATGCTGTGCTTCGAGCACCATGGCAACCAAATTGAGAAGGAAATAGAGGGCTGTTGGATTCAAGGTACCACATTAGGAATAGATTGACCATTCATGAAGACTGTCAGTAGGAAGGATAATGAAGTAGGTGGAAGATGTCATAGCATACTGTAAAGTATGCTATCAGGGCCTTCGTGTGTGTTGCAGATACGAGTTCAGTAGAGGAAAAGTTGGCATTGTTGGACTCAGTAAAGGATAAGGAGTAGGAGATGGGAGTGTGTCCCTTGGCAGTTTTAACCCAAAGCTGACAAGCATGGCATGTAAGTAGTTGCTATACCCACTATGAGTTTACTTTATTGTCTTTACACACAGATGACTCCACTTGAACTAAGTCACCAATGAGCCAATTATGAGTACTGTCTGTCTCACCTGCTTATCCTTTTTCTTGATTTTTAAAAACATTTTATGGTATCTTATATTGTTGTTACTAATTTCAATAACTATAGCAATTATAATGTCTATAATAAAAATAACACCATCCATATTGTTAGCATCAGTAAAAGAAAAAACAGGAAAGGTGAAATCAATTAAGGTCAAAAGATCTACTGACTCTTTTGTGACTAAGCACTTACAGTCATTTATGAGCCATTTCACAAAAAAATCTAAAATAAACAGCATTTTCCCAGCAGCATTGGGTTAATGGACTAGAAATAGGGAGAAAGGTGAGAGCTATATTAACCTGTGTGAAATTTGCAAGTTCAGTAGCAACTTGTAATGGTTAATGGTTAATGGTTAAAAGCAAGATAAATGTGCTAGACATCTAAGGTCATGTAGCACTATAGTTAATGTTAGTGAAAGGTGGTTCAGTTAGTGATTAGTTGTCTAGGCTGGGCAAAGGAATTGGTGAGTTAAAGGGTTAAGGTCGGGTGTTAGATTAGATAAAGGATATGTATGCGTTTGAGGAAAGAGAACAGGTTGTTGATGCAGAAAGTGTGGGATTCTGTAAGGATGTCTGATAGGTTGGGAGGTCGGTGAAGGGAGGATAGGTGGGGGAAAGCAGAGGTACGGGCTGCTTCAAAACGTGGACACGACAATAGGATGTGTACGATTGAAAGGGAACATTACATAATGAACATAGGGGTGGATCAGATTGTGACATCAGATAGGAGTGTGTTAGACAGGTGTGGCCAATGCGTAAGCGGGCGAGAGCAGTCTCCCAACGTCTGTTCCGATGAAATGGAGCTGACCAGGAGGAGATTGATAGTTTTACAGAATGTAATTTATTAGTGTGGAGGCTTGACCAGAAAGATTACCATCGTTTATACAAGAAGGTCTTAAAGTGTGGGTAATAATCCGTGGCTGGGATACGTGAGAAGCGTGGTTGGTATGATGTGGACATAGCAGCGTGGCGTGCTAGTGTATCTGCCTGTTCATTGCCGGGGATTCCAACATGGCTGGGCACCCAGCAAAATTTGATTGTTTTATGGCGTGTGGACAGGTAGAACAACCAGTTCTGGATCTTACAAACAAGGGGGTTGGTGCTGTGTATTGACTTTATGAGAGTTAATGAGCTACGGGAGTCAGTAAAAATTGTAAAAGAGGAAGAGGAGAGTGAGTATATGTGTTTTAGGGCAAAAAGGAGTGCATACAGTTCAGTAGTAAGGACACTGGATTCAGGAGGAAGGGAGTATTTGAAAGTACGAGTTGGGAATATTACTGCAAAACCAGCACCAGAGGTGGATTTGGACCCATCAGTATATACGTGTATACTAGAGGAATGGGTGGAGACATGGTCAAGGAAATGGATGAGAAGGACAGTAGGAGGAATATTTGATTTTGGTGGGTCGGGGAAAACAGAAGTGCAAATATGGGGGTGAGGTATAAGCCATGGAGGGACGGAATGGACAGAGAACGGGAGAGGTTGGAGATGGGGGAAAGGGGAATGGGAGAGGAGGGTATCCATGCGAGTGGAGAAAGGAGTAGGTAAGCGTGGAGATGAAGCTAAGGTAGGAAGTAGAGATTGTGGGATAGTTAGTTTAGTGAGGGGAAGTTGGTGGAAACGAACATAACATCGGAGTGAGAGCAGGGCACGACGTCGAGATAGAGATGGTATGCCTGATTCAGTATACAGGCTCTCAACTGGAGAGGAGCGGAAGGCGCCTAGTGCTAAGCGAAGACCACAGTGATGGATTGTGTCAAGATGGGCAAGGAGAGAAGTTGAGGCAGAGGAGTAGATATGGCATCCATAATCAAGAGTGGAGAGGATCAAAGTAACATGAAGATGAAGAAGAGTTTTGCGATCTGAGCCCCATGATATATGGGATAGAGTTTTTAAAATTCGAAGGCGGCGGAGAGCTTTTTCTTTAATGTGTAGAATATGGTCTCGCCACGTCAGTTTGGAGTCAAAAATGACGCCTAGGAATTTGCCAGAGGAACGGCATTGGAGTGGAGTGCCATATAGGAAGAGTGGGGGTAGGGGATTTACACGTGAGCGAGAGAAAAGGATGGAGAAAGATTTAGAGATAGAAAAGCGGAAGCCATGGTTTGTGGCCCAGGAAGATACTGATGAGATTGCAGATTGAAGAAATTGGTAGAGATTTGGTATGGATGTGCCAGATGCATAGATGGTTAAATCAT